GCATTTGATGGTGCCCCTGCCCCCCTGCCCTTGGTGGCCTTGTTTTTGGTCTAGGATTACCGTTAGTGTTTTTATCAACTCCATTCTTGTACAGGAAATAGAAAGGGGGGAACCCAACGCTGCCTAGCAAAGAGAAACAGTCACATGCACTGCTGGCTGAGCTGTCCATTGCTCAGACTGGGACTATTCCTGGCTGGCCCAGCCTCCTCCTATCTCCAACCCTCCCTCAGCACTTCACCACAAGCCCCCTACAGCAGGACTCCAAGGGCATGTCTTCTAGACACACCACATGCTTTGGCTCATGGAGTCCTTATCCAGCCCTAATGCCTTCTTCTTTCACAGGAGAGGAACTCAAGGCTCACAGCGGACCAGAACTGACCCAGGCCACACTGTCGGTACTCAGCAAGCCTGGGTCCAGGCCCAGGAAGGCCAGAGGTCACCGCAGGAGGACAGCGAGACCAGGCCCTGGGGCAACTGTTTGCAAGAATACAGGCCTGTAGGGCAGGGACCAGTGTGGGGAGGGCAGAGGGACGGGGGCAGGGCACACGGCAAAGGCACAACCTCATGCTGAACAACCAGGGGCAGAACGAGGGTGCCCACTGGGTCCAGTGCCCCGTCACTTCCACAGACAATGATATCACTGAGAAGCAGGCCCAGGGCAAGGCAAACAAGCAGGGGCCCTCCTGGACTATGAGCTAAGAGTCAGCAGAGGTCAGAGCCCTCTACACAAGGATGAGACACTGCCTGTGGGGCCTGCATCTATCCTGGAGGTGGCAGACAGGGGTCAGGACCGACCACTATCATGGAGGGTAGGCCACTATCATGGGGGGGGGCTAGTCACTGTTATTAGGGAGGGGGCCAGCTACTGTCATAGGGGAAAGGGAGTCGAGACTGTCATCAGGGGAGGGGGACTAGTCACTGTCATGGGAGAGGGGGGCTGTCACTGTCATTAGAGAGGGGGCCAGCCACTGTCATCAGGGGAAGGGAGGGTCGGTCCCTGTCATTAGGGAGGGGGCATGCCGCTGTCATCAAAGGACTGACCACTTTTATGTGTTCACAAGTATCAGTCATGCAAACTACTACAGGCTCCTGCCCCTACGGGAGGTGACAGCTTGTCAG